GTTCCAAAACTGCATGACTTGCTTGTTTCTGCAAAACACAAAAAAGATACATTTTAAAAAAGAAATAGTCGTGTTGTCAAAAATATAAATATTAGATTAGATATATCAATACTGAAATATCTGAAACGTTTCCAATAGGCCTACTGCTTTTTCTGCAGTATTGGTACACAGATACCAGTTGCGCTCTTCTCTCCGACGTTGAAATGACACGCACCAACCTCCTCTCACTCTTCGCTCTGGTTGAAAAGTGCTTGTATTGCGCATCATTTTAGTCATTCACGCAGGTTTCACACTCACACCAAAAGCACGTGCACGTGCACCACTGATCTATAAGTAGCGCTCTCATAAAGCTGCCTCTCAAACAGCTCGTGAGTACTAAATTGACTTCTTTTTCGTCGCTTGTTGCGGTTAAATGGTCAAACACATACAAAATGATGTCAAAATGCTCATCTTGCTAAGTATTCAGGTTAATCCAGCTCGTTTTGGAACATAGTTGAGAGAAACCGCATGTTGTGTAACAGTGTATTGAATCCATACACAATCTCTTAAAGTGACAGCAGCCTAATAAACCTGTTGCTCTTTCATGTTAATAAAAAAAGACAAAGAGAAATCACTTGCTGCTCTTGACTGAATAACTGTTGTAACTTTTATTGTAAGCATTAATCTGTATTTAATTTTTACAAGGAAAACTATCCAGTGTTATTTTACATTTGATTACTTTCATTTCTGTATTAATTCTTATCTGAATACTACTGTTAGACCCAGCTGAAAATCTTAAAGCCATGTTTATTTAATTTGTCTCTTTATTCTATTGTAATTATTTGTGCTATGGTTTGCAATTTGTTTATTTGTTCTTATTTTATTACTGACTGTTTACTTACCTTTTTTTTTTGTAAATTCAGTTCAACAATCCAAATAAAGTGTGTAACCTATTACAAAAAAATTACCCAAATTATCAAAAATTAAGAGATAATAACAAATTATCAGTATGACGGTGTATGACATTCTCCCCTCTGGCATGAAAAAATGCATCAATATTTTTCAAGGTATTGTAACAAAAGCTGAAAATTCCAGTATCATGACAACACTAGTACTCGTTAATTTTCACGTTCATTTGTTCACTTTTTCCTTTTCCAAAAATGATGCAAAGCAGCATAAAAATGGCATAAAAGTAATTTTGAAGTCATATATGATACCTTAAAGTATATTTTTTGCTTGTAATCTTTCCCAATAATGAGCTTCAAAATTCTTTGAAATCTGTTTGTTAAAAAGTAACCCTAACCCTTCATTTTTAGGTGCATGCTTGGCTTTCAAAGATATCATTATTATTTTTATAGAGACTGGTATTTTTATGAGCAGGTACAACTTTTGATATATACTGTGACAAGCGAGCGCTATCATGCTGGAAGGGCTGTGGTCTAATCACAACCCTTACAATAGCGGGTTTGAACAGTTGTGCAGTTGCCTAGCAACAGGCAGTGGTGGGTTTCCCAAAAGCTTAGTTGCACAATGAACATTGTTGAGTCCACTATTGAGCCTTGGTAGTTTCCCAAAATTTCCCACATTTCACACATCATTATGGGGTTTTTGGTTGTGACAGAGGCCTTATACTTTGTTCCAAACAACACCTACATAGCGCCATCATTACGCGTTAGCCCCTTTCACACAGTAATCCTTGTAAATTACCGTAAAATTACCAGAATGACTTTACCGTAAATACACAAATATGCTGTTCACATAAGCATGACGCTCAGGCTTTTTACCGATAAGAGACCATTCACACATCAGCACCAAAATACCAGTAAATTTTGTGATGTCAGTCATCGGAAATCTTTAAACTTTAAAAACTTGAAACTTTAATTATTTAAAATCTTTAAAGAGTGCGCTGTTGTCTTCATTCACGCACACTTAAGTTTCATTTTCTGTTAAATCTGACAAAATATTTTACTTCTTACGCCTGTCACAGAAGTACTGAGTGATAGGTGTAAGGGGATGATCACACAGAACGCGTTTTTAATCTTAAAAACACGAGACGCGCATTATAGGCCTAGAATTCAACTGCAAAGCCGCAGCGCTGATGAATGGAAAAGAAGGCAGGGTCTTGAGCACAACAGGCTGAACATTTTCTAAGTAGGTATAGCTGCAGCCTGGAGATCTCCAGATGGGTGTGGAAACTCCAAAACTGGGCGTGAACTCCAAATGGGAGGAAGCCACGCCCTGTTTTGGAGCTCCCACCCCGTTTTGAAGCTCCCACACCCATCTGGAGATCTGCAGGCTGCAGCTATACCCTTCTCACGAGACGCAATGCAACGTCATAGATGTCCATCTAGCGCGTATTTACTTAAAAAAAAAATACTAAAAAGCAGTAAAGCTTACTGTAAACAGCGCTGCGTCCATTAGAACTTTATGATTGGCCCAAAGCATACTTCTTAAGTCAGCGTGTTCAAATCCTGTACGTGCTCAATTTAAGGCTAAAGGTTAAAAGTGAATCAGTCAGTCAAAACAAATGCTGATACACATGTATCATGTACTGTACCTTTGCGGTCACATGGGTTGAGTCACTGTATGGACGGAGTATAGCAATAATTATCTGACTGTCAGTCAAGGATATATTTAGACAAGAGGCCTGTTGTCTATTTCTGTACTGATAAAGTACCTATTAGACTTAGACATTATTATTTATTAGATTGAAGCTTTATTTAATTATACTGTTCTTCATAATAATCAAAATCACACAGTGTTCGTTCGCTGAGGGGATTTGGTCACCTGACTGAGCTTGGTTTCTCCCAGGTTTTTTTTCTCCGTTCTGTCACCTGATGGAGTTTGGGTTCCTTGCCACTATCGTCTCGGTGTTTGCTTAGTTGGGGACACTTAATATTCAGTAATATTACTGATTTGACTGCACTGACACTGTTGGATGAGAACTGACCTGGAGTGCGTTTCCCGAAAGCATCGTTATCCAAATGATCGCAATTTCCATTGAACTCTATTGGTAACGACGGAACTTGCGACCATAGTTGGCTAACGATACTTTCAGGAAACGCACCCCAGAGCTGGACAATGACATCACTGTTTTCTCCAGAGCTGTTTTATAGCTTAATTGAACTTATTTCATAATTTATGTATTTCACAGTTATTGAATCGAACTGAATCAACTGATTTCAACTGAATAATGATTGTTTAGTATTGCCTTTTTAGAGCTGCTTTACAGCAGAATTGAATTCTGTTTGCATCATTTTCCTGTTTGTAACTGTAAAGCTGCTTTGAAACAATCTGTATTGCGCTATAGAAATAAAGGTGACTTGACTTGAATTTTTGTGGTGTGCTCAGACATACTCAGGCAGTTGAGCTGCATTATTTCAAGGTTGTAATTTCTATTATTTGTACTTTACAATGTTTTGATGCACTTAAACATACTGCACAATATTCAATGACATTGAAATGAATTCTTAAGCACTTTTTATTTTTTTATTAGTTACAGTTCAAGTATTCAACAGTTAGTCTGTAAATCTATTAAAACAATCACAATTAATTATGAACTTGCTGAAATTTGCCAATAAACTTGAATTTTTTTTTTTCAAAATGCAGTGCATGAATTATATTAATCTGGTTGTTGGCATGGTTTGAAATACTTAAATACCGGAACCAAATTACATTCATAAATGGTTTGATGCTTTTAAACTAATATCAGTAAAAAAAAAAACAAAAAAAAACATTAAAGATAAATTATATAAAAATTATATTATTCAGGGGATTATAATATATACAGTACATAATGTATCTTTAATGTTTATCTTTTTACTAATATTATAGAGTACACTTTAGATGACACTAGCAGTTGTTTTGTAGAACACATAAAAGGTAATTTTGTGCTGTATCTTGTTTCATTTATGCAGATTTATGTCCTTAATAAATAAGTAACTGGTTCGGTTCATTTAAAATTTCGTTATTATTTAATACAATTTGTTTAGAATTTTAATTTCATATATGGATTATTATTATTGGATTGCATTCATGGCACTTCTAAAAAGTCTGTGAAAAGTTGAAAAAAGTTGCATACACAAATGATCTACTTGCTGAGCTTCTTAAAAGATGGGTTATAACATGAGCATGTTAATGATCATTAAAATCTGCAAATGAGTCTGAATATCCTGTTTGATTTTCTCTCGTCTGGTTGATAGGGCATATTAGAGCCATCCTGTTGTTCTTTAAAACTTTATTTCTTTTTTTGGGCATCCAAATGTGTTGCTTGCAGCTAAACAGTTTTGCTTTGAAATGAGCAAAATAGAGCCCACACTTCACTTCCATTTAAAATCTGCTTACTTCCACCGTAATGTGGAGTAAAGTTGCTTTCTCCATCTGTTGCTGTTGTTATGGACCGCAGTGCCATAATTTCTTGTATTTTTCTCATATTTCCTCCCTAATATCCTTCACTCAGGGGAGCGATAGACTTAATGTGTTTTTGTTTGGACCACATGTCCAAATAGCCATTTATCAAACCTACAGCACAGTGAGCAAGCCACAGTACCGAATACTCCTGTTCACACTCCGTATTGAATATATTAACCGGATTTATAGTAATATCTTGCAGCCCGTGTGGTGCATATTTCATAATTATGAATATGGCATCATGGCGTGACAAGTGGAAAATTGCAAATGACTTAATGATGATGTATAATGCATATACGGTGAAACAAGTTGGCTCAACCGACTGTATGCATTGCGGCATTTTCCCGTCGTTTAACAAGCAAATACGAATGTAACGGAAATCATCCTGTTCCTTTGTTTTAAATCCATCAAGTAAAGAGGCTGTGCTCTGCTGAATGTTTTTAAGGAGCAGAAACTGAATTATTGTAGGAAAAATCAATATACTGTAATCATCCCTTTTCTTTGAGTCACTTCGGTGTGAAGATTTTTATAACAATGTTGCAGAGTATTACTTTTAAAATTGGAAGTATAAAGCACCGTCTTACAGATCTGTGTGTGACTCTCTTCCTCAGAAATCCGGGAGGCGTTTAAGGTGTTTGATCGAGATGGGAATGGCTTCATCTCAAAGCAGGAGCTCGGCATGGCCATGCGTTCTCTAGGGTACATGCCCAATGAGGTCGAGCTAGAGGTCATCATTCAGAGACTCGACATGGATGGTGAGGAGACACTTGCACAAACTGTGAATGGACTGCAAAGAGAAAAGACCAGAATAGCTAGACGTCCTTAGGATGGGATGCTGGTGTGCTGATGTTCCCACCAGGGTGCTTAAAGTGACCATATTATGCTATTTTAAAGGTTTCCTACAACAGGTTTACATGGATCCAAGGTCACAAACACTTCAATTTTCTCAGAATATATATTACAGCATCACCTCTATTCTCACAGTGTCTAAAACAGCTCGATAAAGGATTCAGTCTCTCTAAACCCCTCCTTTCCGAAAGCCTATGTGCTGTGATTGGTCAGATGGTCCAATCTGTTGTGATTGGTCTGCCTTACATCGCGCATCGGAAACTAAAAGCCCATTATATGAATTTCAGCTCTGGAGGCTTTCCCAGCTAGCCTGACTTTGTCATACTCATATTCTAGTGAGAATGTGAGTATGATACTGCTCCATATAGGGCTTTGATTATGAGGCATGTCTTAACCGAACCAGGAAAAAACAACAACTCTGCACTCAATTGGATAGACCAACAACCAATCAGAGCAACGCAGTAAGTCAGCTACATAGTTGCATAGCATAGTTGTCAACAGAACTCAACTGCACGCACGCTGGAAGAAGTAGTAAAATAATGAGTGTTGCTTCTTTTACTTGGTCCTCCATGAGTGGGAGTGTGCGACCAAAGGAGAAACCACAACGACCACAGGGTTTTAATTGCGTCCCATCTTCTTAGCGACCACCGGAGCCAGCTGATAAATTAAACTTTTGCCGAATCCCGTAGGAAGGACGGAAAACACATCTTTCCGATCGACAGATGCCTTGATTGCAGTTCTCTGTTCGTCTTTTAAAATTAATGCGCTGTCGATTTCTTTTACAACAGACGCGATAGCAAAATCTATAGATCTCAATTCTCCAGCTGCAGTCATCTTTGAGGGAAACCAGTTCAACCCAAGCGCTCTTTGATACCGTGATGATTACGTAACTGCAGATCATCTGTCCATCATCGTAAAAAGCCCGCCCTGGCAATTTGATTGGCCCGACTAATTCTGAACCGATCATAATTACTCCTCAATGGGTCGAGTCCAGACCGAACTTCCTGACCAAAAAATGTTGTGGGCGGGGTTCGGGCTGGCATCCAGGCTATTTCCCAGCACTTGTACACAGTGATATGAACAGCGTCAGTTTCACTGTATCCATTCGAGCGCGAGTCCTCGTCCTTTTGAAGTGCATGCAACGTGGATTCGCAGTGCAGAAAATAACATCATCTCGACATGTCAACAACACGACATGTTGCGACAACATGTTTCTTCTCAGCTACATCTACAGTGTTTGAGGGCAGGTCAACTAAGTCGGCGTTGTTTTGCGGACAGCCAATGAATAATACCATAGGCTGGCATTATGCAAATTTGTTGCAAACCTAGTTATCGCATCAGATTCAGAGGATCTGATTCAGAGCGATGATCAAAACATTGATGGAGTAGATCGAGGCCATCAACACCCCCAAAGCTCGCACAGTCATTTACCTCTTCATGAGTTTGACATTTTGCTTGGTAACGTTAGGCAGTTTTAATTTATATGCTGTTGAATGTTTGATGATCACATTAGCTTAGTGTGTGCAATCTTCTATCTGCTCCTTCCGGTTTATGCAGATCATCTTCTTTACTTGTGTTTGGATCTGGAGATGTAGTACTATTTCAAACGATCCATAACAGCCCCATACCAACAGTATAACCAACGCTATCTCACGACCAATTCGTACGAATTCGTACGAGTGATTAAAAGGTGGCTAATTCGTATGAATTCGTACGACCTCACTCGTACGAATTCGTACGATTTGTCTAAACCCACGTGATGGGTAGGTTTAGGGGCGGGGTCAGGGGTAGGTCATTGGTATGAAATCATACGAATTTGGTAACTCGTAAAATATGTACAAATTAGCAAAAATCGTACGAATTTGTACGAGTGAGGTCGTATGAATTCGTACGAATTAGCCACCTCGTAAAATTCGTACGAATTGCCGTGAGATCAGGCTGGTATAACAGTGAAAACATGAATTACCGGAAAACCTCGTAAATGGTGGGGAAGCACTTTGTCATAAATTATGGAATATCTTTTCAATGGTGGGGAAAGAGTTAAAGAGTTCATCCAAAAAATGTCAATGAGATTTAATCAACATGTGCTCATTTGCTCATATTGTTCCAAACCTATGACTTTCTTTTTTCTTTAGATCACAAAATAAGACATTTCGAGACACATTCAAATTTTCATGTTTGGAACGAGTAAATAATGATTGATTTTATTATTATTTTGGGGTGAATTATTCCTTGAATCCCAACAGTCACCAATCAGATGTATTTCTCCGCACTGTAGGGATGCTAAACACAATTGACAGATATTCAACAAATATAAAAGCTGAACAACTGTGACAACTTTTATTTTTAACAACTTTTTATTGCCCCAAACTATCATATTCCTCATAATGCATGGAGACATGCGGATTATGCATGGGCAGATAATGAGAACACTGTTTGACAGTAGGCGTTTTGAAGTTTGAAGTTAGTTGTCTTGAAATTAATTGAAGGCGAAAGCGGTGCTTTGATGGCTGTAGTGGCGGTGCTTTAAAGAACGTCTCAGAGAGGGCCTTTCAGCTCGATAAAACACACTTCATGAAGTTACGCTCGTTCTGACACTTCAAATAATAAAGGTAACACAAAAAGAGAGAAATGTAGATAAACTAACCAATCCAGAAAGGAATAGTTGACCAACCATACCATGACCAGCATGTAAATTCATGCAAAACGTAAGAAATGGCTTTGTTTTTTAATGAATGAGTTTGAATTGGCAACACTACTAAAAAATGAATTGGAATGACAGGAAATTTATATTGCAGAAGTTCACAAATATTGAACAGTAACTGTTGAATATTTGTGAACTGCGTTTCAGTAAAATTATTTAACAGAGGTGTCATTAGTACAACATTTGTGTCAAAACAACAATTATTATTATTAATTATCATTATAATTATTAATTTTTATCAAATCATTATTATTCATTAAATTTGCCTAATTACAGCTGTTTACTCTCACATATAGAATATTTTCTCAACTGATTAGACACTTCTACAAACTCATATAGAAACAAAAAATGCTTCTACCATGATCCATTAAATGAAAGTTAATAGAAATCTTAATAGAAATAATATTATTAACATTAATTTAGATGGTATTTCTAGAAAACTCTATTTCAGGGATTCAGGGAACCCTGAGAGATTTTAAGTTTTTAAAGTTTTATTTGCATGTTCTCTATTCTATGATTAGTTAAGTCACATGACAGATGAACAAATAAAATATTTAATCTTTGAATTCATCTATATCTTAATAATATTGGATCTAATAAAATTCTAATCTTTCTTTAGTAAGAGATTCATTTTTATTTCACTTATTTTATTTTTAGGATTTAATTAATTATTATCTTTTCATCAACCCATAAACCACCAGCAGTTCACAAACGCCAAGTTGGGAAACTCCACTCTATTTGATTGTTTTTGATAACGTGTTTATAGGTACGTAAGAAATTACCTTTCCCATTTGACTGTTCTACATTACATACAGTGCATTCTCTCAATGCAAATTTGATTCAAATGCAGGAATTTTCTATGCAGGCATTCTCAATTAAATTCTAAATATCTCACAACCCTGACAGAAAATCTATTTCTATCCATTTCTATACTTGTTTCATAGAGCCAACAATTGGGACTTTTTTATCATGAATCCATCTAATACTTCACGGTCTGTTTTTTAGGAGACGGCCAGGTGGATTTTGAGGAATTTGTTACTCTCCTGGGGCCCAAACTCACGGCTGCCGGGATGCCTGACAAGTTCCACGGAACCGATTTTGACTCTGTGTTCTGGAAGGTGATTATTAGCCACTTCTCTCTTTATTAAAGTGACAACAGGCACAAAATCTGCTAGATTTTGTGCCTTGTGTCTATCTAATCTACATCTAGATTAGATAGACACTTTAAATCAGGGCCTGAAAATAACTTTTTGCCACACCTGCCAAAAAATTTACCAGCCATGAAACGGTTTTGGCAAAAACAGGCAGTCATGACATCAAAATTTTAAATGCCAGTGAAAATGCACTTTTCAGGCACAGAAATTTAATAAAGAATCAAATGCAAAAATACTGCATAGTCTTCACTGTTTAAATGAAACATGGATTAATCCTTATCAAAAAGTTACAAAAGTTATTCAGTCAAGAAAAGTGAGTGATTTTTCCTTGTCTTTTGATTAACATTAAAAACACAGACAGCAGCAGGAATATTAGGCTGCTGTCACTTTAAGAGCTAATGCACGGATCCATCATGCGTTTTCTTTCTCAACTGTTTATGTTCACTTTAGGCATAACTGACTATGTTTACGAGGATACTCACCTACTCCCCAATACGGGCATTTTGGCATCATTTTGTTTAAATATGTCCGTTCAAGCGCAAGAAGACGTGAAAGAGAACTCAATACACTAATTGCACGCTCTCTGAGATTTCGGAATTGTGGGCGCACGCTTCGGGTATTTGCGCACAGAAAACTTCCCAAACAGCGCGCGAGTAACGAACCAAGTTCCCTTTCGCGTCTTCTTGTGCTTGAATATTTAAATTGCCAATGCTTAAACTTTCGGGATGATGCAGCGCTGGCTGTCAACTGTCCTAGACATCGTTCACGTTTGTTCACGTTCATGGTCTCACAACATTGCATTGTTAGAATTCATAAAAATGTAACCGGCTAACTGCCGATTGACACCATTTCATACTCACCAACACCGCATTTGCATTTGGCGCTTGGCAAGTGTTCATTTTAGGCCCTGCTTTCAATTCTCTCTATGAAATCACACAAACAGACATGAATCACCTTATGAGAATTGGCCTACTATCCTTTAAACATGAGCAGAATCTACTGTTACACTTTATTTTGATGGTCCACTTTAGACATTTAACTTTGCAACTACATGTCAAGTAACTCTCGTTAGAGAATTAGTAGACTGTTAAAAGACTAGTTTATGGGTTAGGGTTCGGGTTAGTAGAATAAGTTGACGTGCAAAGCTATAGTTAGTAAAATGTCCGTTTTAGCAGATATTAAGCAGGCAGTCTACTACTCTACTAATACTCAAATGAGAGTTACTTGACATGTAGTTGCTTATAGTATAGTTGCTTAGTATAATCAAAATGTGGTGTTACAAAACCTACAAATCTTAATACACTTCAATGCCGATGTATTGCAATGAGACATGATGACTTTAAATAATGGAGTCTCTTCCACTGCATGTCTCCAAGTGAGAAGAGCAGAATATCATTTGTAAGGGCCATATGGTGATTACCCCAAAGGGTGAGTTTCTCTAATCTCAGCTCACTGCTGGTGCATTTTTTTAGCAGTGTGTTTGACCCCAAATAGCTAAAGGGTTATCCCTCTTAAACGTCTCTCTGTGTAATTATGAGTTCAGTGCTTAATATGTGTGCATGAAATCAAAATCAACCCTGTCTTTTCTTACTACACATTCTTAGTCAGCAGTTCATCAGTACACGTCATTTTAAAGAAAAGAAACTTTTTGTAATCGAAAAGCATGTTAAACTTGCTCCACTCCTTAAAGGGATACTTTTTTTGGAAATAGGCTCATTTTACAACTCCCCCAGAGTTAAACTGTTGAGTTTTACCGTTTTTGAATCCATTCAGCCGATCTCCGGTTCTGGCGGTACCACTTTTAGCATAGCTTAGCATACATCATTGAAGTGGACAAGACCATTAGCATTTCTAAAAAAAAAAAATTACCAAAGAGTTTCGATATTTTTCCTATTTAAAACTTGACTCTTCTGTAGTTACATCGTGCACTAAGACCGACGGAAAATGTAAAGTTGCGATTTTCTAGGCTGATATGGCTAGGAACTATACTCTCATTCCTGCGTAATAATCAAGAAACTTCACTGCCGTACCATGAGAGCAGCAGGCGTAATGATATGACGCAGCGCCTGAAAATAGTTCCGTTGTGTTGACGGAAGGTAGCCTATTTTCAGGCGCTGCGTCATATCATTACGCCTGCTGTTCTCATGGTACGGGAGTAAAGTTTCTTGATTATTACGCAGGAATGAGAGTATAGTTCCTAGCCATATCAGCCTAGAAAATCGCAACTTTACATTTTCCGTCGGTCTTAGTGCACTATGTACCGCCAGAACCGGAGATCGGCTGAATGGATTCAAAAACGGTAAAACTCAACAATTTAACTCTGGGGGAGTTGTAAAATGAGCCTATTTCCAAAAAAGTGGAGTATCCCTTTAATGGCGACTCTCCTTAAACTACCTGTCATTTGGAGACCGCTTTTAAACTCTGAAAGACAAAATCATATATTTTTTTTCATATTCAATATCATTTTGTACTCTAAAATATGTCACATTATGAAAGTGAAATTGGTTGCATGTCAAATTTAATATCAAGTTTTGACCAAATGTCTACTGTGAGGTTCAAACCGTAGAGCATGGTGTTAGCAACACATGATGTTTTATGAACAAATTCTGAGCTCCGAGCCCTCTTCTCAAACAGCACACTAAATTTGCATACTCTTTTACTCTATCTGATTATTTGTAAGTGTGAACTCGTCAACAAGGCCATGGGTTTGACAGGGAATGCATGCACTGATAAAAATGTATCCCAGACTGTATAGTGTCGGGCAAGATCCGGCCCACGTCTGGGCCATGTGGAATCCACGCTTACCAGATGCGGGCCGGATCTGGGCCGACACTATTTTGCTGTCTGGGATACCTTTAATCCCAGGTAAGTCTCTTTGGATAAAAGTGTCAACTGAATGCATTAATGTACAGTAAAGTAAAGTGATGCATTCAGACCAATTGAAGATCGCATAAAGAATTTCAGAATGAAATTATTCAGTTTTGTTTCTATTTTTAGTGTGATATGCAGAAGCTGACTGTGGAAGAGCTGAAGAGACTCTTATATGATACTTTCTGTGACCACCTGTCTATGAAGGACATTGAGAATATCATCATGACAGAGGAGAATCACATCGAAAATCCTGGGGACTGCCAGGTTGACATTGACAGTAAGAATTATTTTCTTTCTTTTTAATAATGCACAGCTCTGGCTGAGATACAGTTTCAAGTATTATTTCTTTCCTGTTAAACTCATAATTTCATCATCTTGATTTAAATCATAATTTCATCATCTTGATTAATTATTTTAGCAGGTTAAATTGGAATTTTGTAGGAGGAAGACCCCCAAAATCCTAATATCTTGAACTAGGCATACACCACTGTTGAAAAGTTTGGGGTCAGTATAATTTTGTGAATTAATACTTTTATTCGGGCAAGGATGCAATAAATTGATCAAAAGTGACAATAAAAAATGCATTTCAAAATTCAAAAAGATTTCAGAAAAATGCTGTTCTTTTTAACTTTCTAAGCATCAAATAATCCTGATTTTTTTTATTATTATAGTTTCCAATAAAAATTAAGCAGCGCAACTGTTTTCAACATTGATAATAATAAGAAATGTTTATTGACCAGCAAATCAGCATATTAGAATGATTTCTGAAGGATCATGTGACACTGAAAAATAGATTCAAATAGAATTTATCATTTATTTTAAACTGTAATAATATTTCACAATATTTAGCAGCATTTTTGATCAAATCAATGCAGTCTCAGGAGAGACTTCTCTCAAAAACATTAAAAAATCGAACAGACCCTAAACTATTTAACAAATAGTGTGTGTGAGACATATAAATAGTGCTATACTGAACATGAATGAGACGTGACTAACTCACGCTTGATTGAGCACAAAAATACATCAATGTTTGATTTAAATATTTCTTTTTAATTCAACTTTTTATCATTACTTTTCAGTACTTGGCAAAATAAATGTACATTTCTAATGGACCTTTCCCTCAATTGTATCTACCATCTTTCATGGATTTTCATGAAATTGTATGCTGGCTAAAAAGATTGTCTAGGTATACAGCTCGCTAGGTTTTGGAACAGAGCTCTAGTTTCTTAGAGTCTTCAAACACTTTTGAAACTTTTAATTTCAAGTCATCATCTCCAACCCTTGTCTTACCACCTTATTTCTCTTGATGGTCTTATTTGTTTTCTCTCTGCTTCTTCAGCGGAGAGTCCAACCCAGCAGGTGAAGCAAACATGCGTACGGAAGAGTCTGATCTGCGCCTTCGCGATTGCTTTCATCATCAGTGTCATGCTCATTGCAGCCAATCAGGTGCTTCGCAGTGGCATGAAGTAACGTATGGACCGCTCACAACATAGATTCAATTCAACATATGACAGTGACAAAAATGGCTTAAAAAAACAAACACGCACACATGCACACACAAACTGGAGCAACTGAAAAGTTCATTTAATTTACGTGAAATCCAAATGTGGTGACTGAAATATTTTCGAGACGAGCTACACTGGACAGTTTGCCCTTCCACTGGACATAGCTTTTTTTTTATTTATTATTTGACAGCAGTTTCAAAACAGAATGCACACAAATATGTAAAACGCACACATACTGTGTCTTACCCCCAATGAAAAGTACAGGAAAAGAGCGAAACAAGAAGTTAATACTGTAATGGACTCTAAAAAGTTTCCCCTTCAACCGCTCTCTCCCTCTTCAGTGTGTTCTTGGGTGAGTTTGGCCGCATGGACATCTCCAACCGAGGATCCTACTCTTCAATGCATGACGATGCATGGATTTACAATAGCCTGGACGCACCAGTAGAGCTCAGCTGTGCATCCATTCACCTGTAAGATCCCAAAACAAATTTTCCGGAGAAGGACCAGTCTCACACATGCTAAGAGTTGGATATGGAGCAGAGGCCGTTTCTGACATTTCACATCCAGTATACTGATCCCTTTGCATGAGAATAAGGGCTGTTTAGGGCATGCTCATGTCATGCAATGTTAGTCTTGTGTTTGTCGAGTAACTTTCGTGGATTTTTACCTGTTGCACACGCCTGAGATGATTGTAGTAGTACTGCATATGGTCAAAGGGGGCGTGAAACAACCCAAAAGTGAAGCTGTACCACTAGTGACATACAGTATTAAGAGGTTTATGTGGATAAAAATGATTATCTTTTCACCTGAAATACACTATGCATTTTCAGGCTTTCTGTTCTGAATGATCAACAACGCTCGTCGGTGCAAATGTAACGGTTACATTTTGCAAACCTTTGCACTGTAGTTATCACGTAGAGATGATAATTAGGAGCTTTTGAATTGAAATGACACGACTGGCAGGCAATTATACCAAATGATTACGTAAGACACGGGATAAAAGGAGTATTTGATTTGTGACATATCAGGAAACTATTTAATGGTTGTTTCTGAACCAAATCGATGTCCATTTAAGCTTATCGCCTAACCTAAATGGATGATCGTGATGTTTCTATTAGTTTGCAGTGTAAGGAATATGTGTATTAATATAATCTGACAGCAAACACTGTGGTATATCAGTGTTTCACTTCTATTTCAAAATATATTGTTCATATGTCCATATGAATGTGCCATTTGTGACGTCGTTCAGTGTTTTTCCTGGGAAACACAAGTTTGTGAGCAGGATGACTTGATGATCACGAATCTAAGGTGTGAATAATGTTTAAAATGTGAATGTCAGGGTTTGAATATGTATCAGCTGTGTCATTCTGTTAAAGGGCATTTTCCAGGGCATAACATTAGTTTTCACCTCAGCCCAGGGCATGAATTGATTTAGCTGTTAGTTACAGCACCATGAAACTCTTACATTTGGATGTCCAAGTATAAATGAAAAATGAAATATGCAATGGATGGAAACGCACGTGGAAACTACGATCGATCGAGTGACAGTCCAAGAGGAGTCACAGGACAACAATGTACAGGTTTCCTCCATTATACAGGCACAATTACTTATTCATTAACAGAAATGAGAAAGCTAATAATGTTCGCGAGCCGCACTCGCTTTAACCAGAGAATAGCCTATTATTTAAAACTCGTCTAGAACAGCCAGAATAGCACTTGGCTGATAAGGAAATTCTCATTATATCATTACCGGATTGGCTGGTAACCCCATCTGCCCCAGATTTATTTGTGCTTAGTAAATCAGATCCAACTGAATTAATTATTCACAACAGCTGCTCATAAAGAGAAAAAAAAAGAAAGGAAAAAAATGAAAGACCTACAACAAACGCAGAGCCTTGCCGAATGCTTAGTTTTATAGATGTATCACACTAACTTACCTTAATGATCTATTTCTACTTGCTCCTTTAGAAATACTTTTGGTGGTATAACTAAACAGTGAAATGCAAACTCAGAATATTACGCAAACCTGTAATAATTAAATATGTTAAATTACACAAATATACTTTATGTATTTAATCTCACTTTATTAAGCAATGACTTTGCTGCTGACCTTCGATTATCCAATTCAACATATTCATTTTGAGGAATACTGAATTTGTTTTTCTCAACTGTCAGTCAGTCAGTCAATAAATGGGAAAACAAAGTAACTCGCGTTATTTATTTGAAAAAGTAACTCAGATGTTTAGTTGTACATTTAAAAGTAATGTGTTACTTTACGAGTTACCTGGAAAAAGGTGTTTTGATTACGTAACTCAAAGACTTCTTTACTTTTCTCTTGAGACCCAAGACAAATGAAGTTCAAACAGATGCCTTCTTGATTTTGCCTTGCTTGATGTCAACAGGACACATATTTTGTATAAAAGCTTCTTTGTGAGACTTTTCTCATAAAAGACACACGTTATGCTTGTTACTGGGGGACACCTGTACATGAAACTTATGTTCCCTATTTAATTGGGACTCAAACGAAGCATTTAAAATATACGGTTCATTATAATACACATTATATCCTAAAGCATATTATATGTAAGTATTTCATGTCTACTTGGCATCATGAAAAAGGCTATTTATGAGATTTGTTGTTTCCTGGGGAGGTAAATATTGAGTGTATATTTAAGCAATACATGAAAGCGACTAGGAAATGTGGGTTGACAAATGCTAACTATATAACTGGATTTTAATGAGAATGTTGGTTTGTACATGATTGTGCAAAAAAAGGATGGTACTCTTTTCTCATTAGTCATAGAGACCAGTAGTTTATTATCTGTAGAGCACTTTAGTATCCAAGATTTTTAGTAATTTTGCATTGAAGTCATTTTTATTATAGCCAGATTTTTTGTATATTACATGAATTATTAAGATGTTTATGTATGTACATGTAGAGCATCATTATTTTTGTTAAAGAGATGGCAATATATATGACATAGGCTTTATTCAAAATGTGAGCCACATTTCTGTGTATTTCTAAAGAGACATGCACACAAATTCTGCACACATTTAATTTATGTAAACAAGTATTTCGATACTTGAGACATCAAGCGTGTTGAATGTTGTCCTGTGACGTTTCTTACTTTGCCTTATGCTGTTTTTCAAATCAGATCATAAATAATATTGTTTACAGTGATGACATGGTGTTCATATCAGGTCTGAAAATACTTCTGTTTGGGATGAACTATTTTTTGAATGTGGATAATCAATGTGCCATACTTATGTTTATTAGTGCAACTTGCGCTCTCTGAGGAGGGTCAACGTAACGTTATACATTCATTGGTAACACTTTACTTGAAGGGGTGTGCATAAGACTGACATGACACCTTCATAACCATGACATGACATATGTTATGAATATGAAGGAAGTTTTATGCATGTTTGTAACAACTGTCATTACGAGTCATTTGCTCAGTTATGACATTTTTAATGCAAATATGACATTGTTTGAGATGTCTTTGTTATGACATCTTGACATAAACCAATACATCATAACCTGTCAGTGCCTTTGTCATGACAACTTGACATTACTAAGACAACACAACCTGTCATAAACATGACATAGCAGATTAATTATCAAACTTAAGAAACCACTTAGCTTGGTTAACATTACATTAAACTGTCAGGTGGTTGGTTTTGACATTGGCTGTCATGAAGCCATTATAACTTTTTAATGACAAATTCAATTTGTACCACTGTAGTTGAGGTCACGAAAAATATTCATGACACAGTTATAATGCCTCATGACAGCCAATGTCAAAACCAACCACATGACAGTTTAACTTAATTTAATGTCAAGTTGTCATGACAAAGACACTGACAGGTTATGATGTTATGGTTTATGTCAAGATGTCATAGCAAAGACATCTTAAACAATGTCATATTTGCATTCAAAATGTCATTATTGAGCGAAAGACTCTTAATGACAGTTGTCATAAACATGCATAAACCCTACTTCATATTCAAGACATATTTCATGTCATTGTTATGAAGGTGTCATGTCAGTCTTATGCACACCCCTTTAAATAAAGTGTTACCCATTCATTTCACCTTGTGAAGTGTGTTAACCGAGTGCACAAAATCTGTGTATCCACCTGTGACATTGTACTGTATTCCAAATGAATAAAGATAATACCAAAATACACTGGACGAAGAAACTTAAAAACAAATTTTCCAAAAGAGCAACATGATACTAAACAACAAAACCTGAACCGTCTACACTGGTTTTGTTGTGTTAATGTTGTTGTGTTAATGTGCAATTTTTACATTTACAAAATAGAGCCTGAAACTATTTTTATATCCTTTTTTTCTTTTTTAACAACTGATCAGTAAAAGGAGAATTAGTTTTGTTATATAGAATGTTTGCAGTTTGGCAACTTTGTTACCAATATTTACAACATATTTGCTCACAAAAGTTTGAAACTTTAATTTGTGCCATTTTCCTAATAACCATTAAAAGTAAATAACAATAGTTATTTACTAATAACAAGTAAACATTAAAAGTAAATACACAAAGTGTATCAAATTATTATTAAAAATTAAATCGGTAAAAGAAAAGGGGAAAATTGTGTTTTGGTCATTAAAATGTCTTAATGTTGAACTAATTTTCAAAAATTATTTGGATTTATGTCAAAATCAGTATAAAAACAGTATAAAAAGTTTATACTGCAAAAAAAAAAAAAAAAGCGTCATGCTTCGTGGGGCAACAGTTTGTAGAGTCTTGTTTAAAAAGTTATAATTGCAACTTTTTTATCTCATAATTATGACTTTTTCTTATTTTGTGAATTCACAATTCTGAGAATTTTTTTTTAAATTCTCATAATTGCGAGATATAAACCTTTGCAATCCTGACTTTTTTTTCTTGCAATTGCGAGGTAATCCTGACTTTTTGCTCGGAATTGCAAATTTGTATCTTAAAAAAAAAGAAGACGACATTTAACCTTGCATTTGCACTTACCTTTTTTCTTTTCTTTTTATCTCGTGAAACAAGCTTTCATAGTAGCCCTATAGTAACCCTATATCGCAGGAAAGTGCCTATAATGTATTCATAATTTCATTAGTAACTCATATTTTTTAATCATAATTGACAGTTCATTACCAGAATTAGATATGTTTGTTGTAGCCTAATCCTTTGACATAATCACAATCACGTTGCCACATCTTACTGCAGTGACGATAACTAATCCTGATCTCAATACAAATCTGACATATTCGATTTCTTTCTTG